TTTCGCACCAACAGGAAATTTGTTGGGTGAGAAAGAGCAAATCTTAATCTTTCTGATGGTATTTGACGTATAGACGATTTCGAGGCCGAAACGGGTTTCCCCCGAAATTCCGTGAGGCCATGTTACGGGAAAAAGCAGAATTTTTCCCCAAATAGAACGCGCATCCCTGGCGCCGCGGCCGGCGAGCTACGTGTGTTCTACGGAGCGCGCTCCTCTCCAACATGACCTGTACATGACCATACATAGCTAGATTTAAATCATTGTCGACCTACGTCTAAACTACTTTTAGTTAGACTACACTGGGTGTTAATTCATCTTATATCTAAACAGGTTCTTTTTTTTGGCACGCAGAAATATATGTTTGTGGTCCCTTGATAGATACGGCCTGTCTGAAAACTTGAAACCAGCGTCTGCCTGAACGCGGGGAAACATTATACTCTCGTAGCTTCCTGACCTTTAAAAAACGCACATCTAATTAGAGCAAGTGGACCATTAGAACTAGAATACCTCAAACATTGATTGATGATTGGGGGGAATTCAAAGAATAATAATTGTATCCGTTTTTCTCGATTTGAATGGCGCTGGGTTTAAATAATTACTTAAGAAAAGTTACATTTATCGACCTGCTGGCTCAGTAAAAAAGTAGCCTATGGACACAACCCAACGCTTCTGGTACCTAGTGAGGACAGTGCAACATGCATGCTGTGATCCTGGATCTGTTATCCAATCTACATTGTATAGTCCATGTGTACTGCTTACTATAATAAGATAACAGGTCCTCATGTCCCTAGTTTTACACAGAAGCAGTTACTTATTTCTAAAAGTGCTGGGTGTTGTCAAATCCCTAAACATAACTCTCTCACATACATCCTAACAATTATACACAAAATTACCCAAGAGCCAATAACGTTGCTTCAACCTTTATCTCATTACCAAACAAAAAACAAAGTAGTACATTTTGTTGTGGCCTGGGATATCAAATACCTGGGATCATTACATGTATACATCTTTTACAGTACATATATTACTTAACACATGCTCAAAAGTTACAGTAGACATTGAATGCTGAATCGACTATTAAATATGATCCCAAATTGTATTAAGATTACAATAAACAGAATAGATGGAAATTAAGATCTCAATACATAATACATCTTATATATATATCCATAATCAAGCTAAATATACAATATAACATCCTGGTATCCTGCTAGCTGGTGACAATCCCACTGGGCGTGGCTTTTACCTGCAAGGTAGAAGAATAAAAAAAATGTAAGTAAGATACGACACCAAACCCAATTCACTCGTAAATCAACATCAGAGAATTCTGAATCTGAAATGTTATCCAATGCAGACAAGCTGCCTATGGAAATGTCATCTATGAAATTAACATCCTGATCCTCACTATTTAAAAGTCTTTTCTGAATCAGAATCATCATGAATTTCCTGATTTTGATCAATATGGAGTAAATCAAAACATTCAGAATCAAATGTTGAAGTTGGCATAGAAGAAATAAGTAATTTAGATTTGGACTGTACAGCTTGTATAGAAGTCCCATTCCACCCACGGGGACTTCCAGTAACATTAAATCAGGAGATTGGCTATAGGAATAAATCAACTCAGATTTTATCATATGAAAAAGGATAACTACACTGGAGTTCAGAGACAATAAAGAAAATAAGGGAAGTAGTGAAAAGTCACCTCAGAAACTTAGAGCTACTATGGCTTGTCTCATCCTTAGGAAAGGCAAAGTAATGTCCAAAGATTCAAAATCAGAAAAAGAAATTTCAGACTTTTGTATAGTTAACACAACAATAAAATTCCAAACAGGATTTGTTTCTTTAGAAATGTGAAACAGGTTTATGCAGGGAGGTTGCAGTTTTATGCAGGTTAACAATTTCATGCAAGAAGGTTGGAATTTATCAATAAATTTGGAGGATTCTTAATGAATCACAGTATTCATATATAAAAAAGAAAGACCAGGGGCCAGAATTAATACTATCCTTTAAATCTTTTAGCATAGAAGCAAAACTAGACTGAATAGAATTGATCTCTTGATCATATTTCTGAGAGTTACCTTTTGCCAATGAAGTGATTCTATGATATCACAATATCTATAGTATAACTTTAAACTATGTTTGGTGTTAGAACTTTTGTGAACCAAAATAAAGTTTACTAAATCATTTAAGAGTCCAACCACAGTAGAATGTGTCATAATCAGTACATTACTTTGACTTTTACATTCAGATCCTTTCTTGAACTTAACATTTCTACATAAAGATCATCCACAAGAAGTACTGGTTTACTTTTAAAACAGTTCTCCAACCTTACAAGAAACCTGGTGCAATGCTACTTGAGGTAAACTTTGGGGGCTAGGGTCTTCCTGAAATTTTCTTAACATATAGTGCACACTTTTGTTCTCACTTTTATTCTTAGTTATATAACAAAGTTATTTGTATTGGTTGTACTTGTTTAGTGTTAAGTGTCAAGTGGGGCTGTTAATGTGACTGTAACTTGAGCACAGTCCCACTTTGTCCTTGTCCTTCTTTAAATTTTAGTAATAATTTTCTAAAAATGCCAGGAGAGAGGGTGACATGGTTTGCCCAAGGCAGTTTAAACTTTTAAACCTCCTTGGTTTGCCAGATACTTACCAATCTAGTCTGTGAAGCCTAGGATGATCTGAAACAGAAATAAAAGAATCCCTCTCAGTCTTCACACCTTTTTCTCAATTCAATACTAAAATGAACGTTAGCTTTATTTCAATAATCAACGATATACATGCTCAACCATTTATTATAATTTCTACAAATGTCACAAGCTGCCTAAACATGTATATTGTGCACTGTTTTTATCATCAATCACTAGATATGGTAGTACATGCATGCTTGTCTTGCTGTAACTTTAGACACTATGACAAGACATTGTAACAATTTGCAGCGGCCATGCAGCTTTGTTGTTCTTGTATGGCAATCAGACATCACGTGATAAAGTTGGCGGGAATTTTTTGCACAAACACACACAGAAGGGATGACTTTTTAACGAGGTTCGTGATCGATCAGACTCAACTACAACGTTAACTTCAAAATTCAGAATTGAATCTGTCCTTGTAAAGATCTAACGACTAAGAGTCTGGGTCTAAACTTAGACTAGATTAGTTCATCGGAAATGATTTTACAACGAACATGATGTTTACAAGAAATGAAGCACATATACGCAAATTATTCAACAATGTCCGAAATGAAATCAAACGACAAACTATGAGTTTTAGCCATAAAATTGGCCAAAAAAGGGACCCTAGTTGGCATTAAATTGCAAACCTATCCAGACTTCGCACCAACAGGATATTCATAATGGGAGATAGCCAAAGGTTCAACACATTTTATCCACATATCGTCATATGCAAAATCGAGTGCGAAACGGGTTTCCCCCCAAATTCAAATAAGACGAAAATTCAGATCAGTCCAGGGCGGCCATTTTGTTCATTTCACTGTGTACCGTGTTTGGCCACAAAACAACACTAAAACTGATAGAATACCCCTCAAATATGAATACTACGGAGAGCCCACGATATACACGTCTGATACGTACCGCCATCTTGACGCAGAGGCCGAAACTGGTGATGTAATCGGCTGTCAACAACTCGGATGAAATTTCAGCCCGCCGCCCGCGAAAATGTTGTCCTTAGCAACGGCGTTGCTATGGACGGCGGAGTGATACGCTCTGCAAAGAAAACTCGTTCGAAAAGCGTTCGATTCAGTACGTGGCTTTCCGGCTGTTTATTCATCCCAATCCATACATTAAACAACCCAAATAATCACCCGCAGAACAGGGCTCTAGTTCTAAAAAATCCAAAAATAACTTAAGTTGTGTTCCAATGACCTCGGCTGACTCCCATAAGAACACCTGTTCCCTGCCTGTGACCCAGATAGAAGACATAGAACGTGAACTTTACCCAGTGACCTCAGGTGACTCCAGAGGGAACTATGTTCTATGTTCTATTCAGCATGTGCATTGTATCACTTACTGCATCAGTTTGGATAGACTATCGTGTAAGCTATATGATAATAGTGTTAATGTCCCGCCCCGAGGTGAATATGGTGTGATAAAGCCTTGTCGGTTGCTATAACCACCTCATAAAGCCACCTCGTTCGCTGCGCTCACTTGGTGGCTTTATTCTGTGGTTATAGCAACTGACAAGGCTTTATCACACCATATTCACCTCGGGGCGGGACATTAACCCTTAATTATTTATAGGTACTTTTGATACTAGAGGTTGAGAGAGCAAAATTTCAAATGTTAGTCCATTTGCCAACTACTGATCCTGCTGTTGATCCACTACTGTCGGTTACTGACTCAACTACTGATGTGCCAATGATCCACTACTGTCTGTTACTGACTCAGTTACTGATCTGCTACTGATCCACTACTGTCGGTTACTGACTCAACTAGTGATCTTCCACTGATCCACTACTGTCTTTGATTTGTATATCATCCTCCCAGATTTAACTACTGATCTATCACTGATGTGTTACTGAAAATTTACATATTTTGTGAATAATTAGTGACTGACATAACAGTAGCATATCAGCTGCAAGTCAGCACTGATTGCCAATTACTGATCAGTCATATTTCAGTACTGATGGTTTCCTAAGGGATGTGTGATAGAAAGTTGGAAACTATAGTACGCATTTTAAAAACGGTTTACATGGAGTTAATTATGTTTACCGAAGGAAAACATATTGTTTTTGCTCAGTTTCTTGTTCCTCTTCTTCTTCTTCTTCTCCAAACAGTGACCTCTGACCCAAACCAATGTTTGTCTGCTGCCATGGTAACTAGTGTTGGGTTACATCATGTTGCAATTTCATAGTAGGAGGGATTTTTATCTGAATGTGTTTGAGTAAGAATTAATTTGTAATGTCTTTGTTGTGCAGCTATCGCCATGTTGAAGGACAAGGCTCCAGGCACCTTTATCGTGAGGGACAGCCATTCCTTCCCAGGAGCCTTTGGGCTGGCCCTGAAGGTCGCGACCCCTCCTCCAGCAGTCCTGCAGCAGGGGAGGAAAGGTGAGGTTCCTGCTTCCACAAACAAGCAAACAAGCAAACAAACAAACACAAACAAACCTGCTGATGGCATTCGACTTAAAATGCTTCCCACATTTGTTATGTGTTTCATTATTGTGACATTCATCAGTGTTCAGTGAGGGCACAGATTTGTGCTTCCACAAACAAACAAACAAACAAATAAACAAACACCTGCTGATGGCATTCAACGCATCCTTCCCACATTGGTTATTTCTTTCATTATTGTGACATCAACAGTGTTCTAGCCAACATCCGACTTTCTGTCATTTAATGGAATTTTGCCGCTTATTATGACATACAAAAATCAGGCAAAAATCAGCATTTAAACATGTGAAAAGAGACGTCAATGAACCTAAAGAAGGAGCTGCTTGAATGAACTAAGCTTCGTCTTCAAATGATCAAATGATGATATTTACCTTTGCCAAGAACGTTACGTTTTCAGAGGCGTTCATGTGTGTATCTGTCTGTGTGTGTCTGTCTTTGTGTCTGTAAACACAATAACTTGAGATTGGATTGACTTGATATTTGGTAGGTGGGTGGGTCTTGATGGGACCTCGAAATGATTAGATTTTGGGTCCCCTAGCTGCAGCTGAACTTCCGGTTTTGATATCTCATAACCTAGACATGCTAGAGTCACGAAATTGGGTAATAGGTAGATGAGGCAAATACAACTTCAGTATTGAGAAATTTGTTTTTTTTTTACTTCGCAGGAGACATGTCAAATGAGTTGGTGAGGCACTTCCTTATCGAGCCCACGTCTCGCGGAGTCAAACTGAAGGGATGTGCAAACGAACCTGTCTTTGGTAAGTCCAACCTCTAAAATAGACATGAAGGAAAGCTACATGCACCAAGAATATTGCCGTATGTAATACTATATACTACATCTATATACTAGTGCTGTGTACCTAAACCTACATTCAGGTCCAGGTCTGGATTCAAGTCCAGAGGTTTAAGTTTAGGTCCGGACTTATAAGTCTGGACCTACATGTAAACCCAGGGCATATACAAAATACATTGTACGGGACTTCTCAGTTAACATTTCCCAATTGAAAATGGGGCATTTAAACCGCAAAATTTTGTAGCGAGCATTAGGAGCAAGGTATGTTGCTTGAAGGACACGTCTGGGTAAAACTGTGGCCACATAATTATAATTTACGGAGGCCGACACTTTACGATGCTCTATGGCAATGTTTTCTTCTTTTTGCAGTGCAACTTTTTGACTATTGAAGCTTTCAGGTGGTTTAGAACAAAATGGGGAATGTGACGGGTTTTTTTCCAGAACTACATTGTAGTTCCAAAATGACCAAAATGCCCCTGCAATGTACATGCACACGAAACAACTGATGTGTTACTATATCATTACAATCGTGGTAATACCTATTATACAGTAATTGAACATGTTCCACCCTTACAAGTATTTACCAGTAGAACACGAAGATAAACTCATATCCAGTAAATGTTCCAATACAAAACTCAATACTACAAGCTTGTCCGTTCACAGCCCAGTGGTTTAGTGGGCTGATGATCTAGTCAACACACCTCCCGCTATTACAACTTTATTGGAAATCCAATAATTGAGTGAACTGAACAGAAGGCAGACCAGCGGGTGTTCTAATGGATTTATAGTATTTATATTCACCGTAGATTGCTTTTCTTCCAAGCTTGATCTCAGTTTTAGATCAAAATGCAAATGTAACTCCCTTTGAAGACAAAAAACAAAGTTCCGCTAGAAAGGTAAGATTTGCAAAGCAAATGCATAATGTTTTCCTCTACATATGGTCTGCTCTGTTAATTCTCACTCAAACACAATCATTAATACACATAATACATGTATGTGGTCAGACAGGAGTCTAAATCCCTTCTGCTATAAAATTGCAACATGATGTGACCCAACACCAGTTACCGTGGTGACAGACATCTGGTTCAGGTCATTGACCATATTTGTTTGGAGAAGAAGAGGAAACAGAGCAAAAACATTATGTTTTCCCTTGGTAAACATGAAATATCATTTTTATAAAAGAAGCTGTCACTTAATACAGGGACACCTCTTTTCTTTGACAAGTAAATCAAATTCTATACACTGAGGTTCAAATCCCGCTGGGCATCCTATTTTGTTAAGTATTTTGTTGCATATGTACTTTTTTTGGTGTAGGTAAAGCCAGGAATCTCAAGTATGAGAGAACTTTGGGCATTCAACTTCGAATTCTACAAAAGATCCCTACATACTTTCATTACATTAAAAAATAGTAGGGATGAGCGAGGGTGTTTTGATGAAAACCTGTGCCTCAGCAAGGCTACATTCACTCCTAGGGCCACACCAATTTTATTTCTTGGTTAACGGATTTTTCTAAAAAAAATAATAATGGAGCGGGCGGGCAAAAAAATAAAAAATAAAAACAGGCCTAGCTATAGGCATCCTATTATGGCCTAAAATGATACGATAGGAGCCATGAAGTCAACACACCAGGCTGGTACAAAATTTAAACAATAAATTTTTAACTTTTATGGATACCACTGCATTGAAAGATGGAATAACTGTAACAACTAGGAAGAAAAGGTCTGTTTTCAACTGTTCAGGGCAAAATATGAGCATTTTGCAGTTGATTCTGAATTTTTTTTTCAAATCAGAAAAAAATTAAGCGGGCAAATCCATTAACCAAGAAATTAAATTGGTGTGGCCTAGCTATTGAAAAAGCATTATGCTTTGCTTCAATTTAAGGTTGGCAGCTTTACCTTTCCCTATACCCAGTAGAGGGTGTAGGAGTCAATTCTGAACAGGTGCAGGTCTTTCTAATGATACGGCAGCCAAGCAGAACAGGTTTGAAATTACCTCAGTGGGAGAGAAAACAGTTCATGTCCATAACATGCTGTTTTCTGTCATAATGTTGCCGACATTTTTGCGATAGATGACCTGAAGCGAACTTAATATGAAACAGCTTACTTGATCTGTTTAGAAACCTTATCAATTCAATATGATGGCATATGAACGATTATGTCTTTTTCAATTGGATACGCTGGGTTATGGTGAAATTAATAAACTTATACAGGTGTAGCAGGACAGAATATACCCCTGGCCAAAAGAAAAAATAATAATCTATACATTATCAGTCATTATCAGTACTTGATCTGTTGAGAAACCTTATTAAATCAATATGATGGCATATGAACCATTATGTCTTTTCAATTGGATACGCTGGGTTATGGTGAAATTGCTAAACTTATATAAAATTACAGGTGTAGCAGGCCAGAATATACCCTGGCCAAAATGTACCCACTGCTATATTCTATCCAGGGGTATGTTCTGGCATGCTACATAGGGCAATTGGTGAAGAGAAAAAAACAATCTATACATTATCAGACAGTTAAATTGGAGTTTCTATACCACTGGTGGTTTAAAGAAATTTTTAAAAAGTTAATGCCTAAACTTAAATACAGAAAGTACATAGTTTAGTAACAAAAACATGCATGATTTCCTCCACACTGTGACAACATTAATTGTACACAAAATTTCTCCTTACCCAAGAGTCTAATAGGACATGCTTCAATGGTTGGTTATAATTGGATAAGTGGTTTCTCTTAATTAGTACAAAATAAACAAAGTCTGTTTAACAGGATGTCTTCATAATTAGATTATATAATGCTGAACATGCCTATTGACTGAAAATTTGTTAACGTAGTGTTTTTTTTTTACCATTTTAACATCATTTTTCCCCTTAGACGTGATTGCACGAAGTACAAGTCTTTTTCTGTCTTGTTCTGTCTGTCTAGTATAAATTTTAACCTCCTGCTTGCTGCCTAACTTCCTAGCTACTAAAGATTTGTTGCCAAAAGGCCACCTCAGCTGTAAGACTTAGGTTAAAGATTCAGGGTTATCTTTCCGGTAATTACAGAGCAGCTGTACAAGTTAAGAAAAAGATGTGTCAGGTTTGGAAGTTTGTGGAACACGGTCCATGGCTAAGGTTAATAACTAAACATTCCAGTCCTGTTCCTGCTGAGGGCTGACATGTTTCCCAGGGAAGGGTGGGAGTCTGGTGGGACTCTGGTGGTAGTTTGGGGCCATTTGGGTCAGGGTGGTGATAAATTGCAGTGGTGACAGACATTTTGCTTTGTGTGGGAAGGGGACATGTAATGTACACTGTTTTCCTTGGCATGTCAGTAGAACGTACTGCACCTGCGCGAAACCCCAATTTTGCAAGTTTTTCGTCAACGTTGCATCAGAACTTTGCCTGTTGCAGACGTTTCCCTCAATTCACTCCTGTACATCACTCATAGTATAGTTGTTTTGCTTTGCTTTTTTATGGTATAGTTAGACTTCATCTAGACTGTAAGATTGTGGTTTATACTTTAATTATCATGTAGCCAGAAGAAGTCGACTATTCAGAAGGCTTCATTTCCCATCGTTATCAGACCTTAACCCCAAAAGTGGTCGGTTATTAGAATAACCAACTGCTTTTTGGACCATAACATTATACAGGGGACAGGGCACTAACAGAAGTGGTTTATTCAGTGGTTATTGCACCTGATGAGGGATTATCTCACCATATACACCTCAGGACGAGGCAGTAACCCTTTATTAACCCTGTCTGTGTTGTGTTTGTTACAGGGAGTCTGTCAGCTCTGGTGTACCAACACTCCATCACACCGCTGGCACTGCCCTGTAAACTACTCCTCCCAGAAACAGGTAAACAACTCTCTCTCTTCATTCTCTTCATTGTGTTACTCTACGAAGTTGGTTTGTTACGCCAAAGAGCGGTTATACAGGCTATACAGATACCAAAGCTGGTGTGTTACACCAAAGGACTATACAGATACAGATTTCTTAAGATACCCTTTAGCTTGATGACTTATCAAACAGGGTTCAGGTGAAAAGAGTTAGCTCAATGCAAGTTGGTAAAAGGTCTAGGTGTACTAGGATATGGCAACATTTTTTCTTGAAGGGAAGGAGTGCAGGAACTAATGTAGCGTTGCTCCCGGTAGGCAATGCTACATTAGAGGCAGAGGAATCAAACTTGCATACAGAGCTTGATGGGTGGAAGGGATGGAAAACTTAGGGAAAAAAGGAACAACACATGAAATACTAGTCACAGATTTGGCATCATTAGGCATTATGAAACTTGGCGTGATCACACTGATGTTTCGTTTAGTTTCAGCACAGCATGCTTCCAACTAGGTCCAAGTCAGTAATGGTTTTGCAGAAGTTGTGTTTGGGTCCAAAGGAAATACATGTAACCCCAGAACGATACTGATTAGTGCTGTGTACCTAAACCCACATTCGGGTTCAGGTCCGGATTCAAGTTCAGAGGTTTAGGTTCAGTTCCGGACTTGTAAGTCCAGACCTAAACCCATGGCATATACAAAATTGCATGTTGGCAACCTTGCAATGTTGTATGTTGTGGCCACATAACATGGAGGCCGACACTTGACGATGCCCGATGGCAATGTTTTCTTCATTTTGCAGCACAGATTTTGCAGTCTATGGAAGGTTTTAGGTGATTTGAAAAGAAAAGGGCATTGAACCTAAACATTCTTACAAGTCCGGATCCGGTCCAGCGAACCTGTACACAGCACTAATACTGATTTGGAAAACAAATACAAACCTGAACCAAGAAGCCTCACAGTTGTAGCACTGGACCTGTACTGACCATGATTGCCTTCCAGACCCGGCAGACCCCACCCCCCCTGCCGCAGCCAGCGCCAAGCCCGTGGAAACACCAACTCCCCAGCGTAGGACAGAGAATGAGATAGAAAGTATTGAGTTAATAGAGATGGAAGTACAGGCTGCAGGTAGGCCCCGCTGTGTGCTGGTCAGGAATGCCACCTTGCAGAGCATGAAGGAACTGCAGTTTAACCTAGCTACATGTAGTTATGTCAAGTCCTAACAGTTGCCTTTCAGCATCAACAGTGGTGATGTTTGCACTGCAGGCATGCCATCTAGCGGAGCATGGAGGAATTGCAGATGTCCATACTTTCAGTTTTCATACTAAACCTTTTTTACCCATCTTCAGCATTGGTGTTTACTGAGTATTAGGTGCAAAGATCAGTTATTGGGAGCACACTAGTGACATCCTGTTTTGTCCTTTCATCTTAATAAGTGTCAAACCAGTAGTTTAATGTTTTTTTTTTTTAAGTTCAAAGCTAGAAACTCATCAGTGGTCTATACTGAAAATCTAGTCTTGTTGCATGGTTGTGAAGTTTGAATTTTGTGAGTAGCTATTATAGACACAAAGTTTTCTATCATTTTGTTATGGTTCATTCCTTTTGTGATATAGGCATGAACTTTGTTATAACAAAGATAATGAAATGTATCTTTGTGGATTTTGCAGTGTTTCAGTAAAAAAAACAGCATGTACAGTATGATACCAGTAATTTTCTGATGAGTGTTGACTGTTGAAGCTTTTGTTGACAAGTTTGTTGTTATTGTTGTTGTTGTTGAAGCTGTTGTTGACAGGTTTGTTGTTGTTGTTGTTGTAGATCCAGGGTTGCTTGCTGCCACCAGCCCGACCGTGAGCAGCCCCAAACCTGACCTGGGAGGATCTTCAGCACAGACACTACTGCAGCAGGGTGCAGGTAGGAAGAACTTATTACATGTAACTAGAAAGGTAACATTTCCAATTCGCCACGTGTCAATGGGGGCCTCTAGCAATACATGCTATTATTGCAAGTGCTTGAGCCAATTTTCCGTGCAATAATTCCAAAAGCAAAATGTATAATGTTTACCTTCACATATGGTCTGCTCTGTTAATTCTTACTCAAAAACATTCATATATACGGTCAGACAGAGTCTAAATCTTAATAACTTTAAACTAGTAGTTAAATGTTTTTGGAAATTCCAAAGCTAGAAACTCATCAGTTGACTAGACTGAAAATGCAGTCTTGTTGCATGGTTGTAAAGTTTGGATTTTGTGAGTAGCTATTATAAGTCACACAAAAAAATTGCTATAATTAGTATAAAATTGCAACATGATGTAGCCCAACACCAGTTACCATGGTGACAGACATCTGGTTCAGGTCATTGACCTTATAAGTAGTCATACATGTAGGAGTAGCAGACTGGAATATACCCCTGGCCAAAATGTACTTTCACATTGGTATATTCTAGCCTGGGTTATCAGCCAGCCTGGTACATTGGAACTCTCCCTTATATGACAGTCACTGACTAGTTTAGTAGTCCTACAATGTAGCTAAGATATGATTAAAAGATACGGTGAAAATGAGAATGCTGATGCATTTTTAAATCAGTGAACATGTAGGATTTACTATGTAGTCCTTTTGCTGTGTTATTTGTTACTAACTGTGGTTGTGTTTCTTCTTCAGCCTGTAATGTTTTATACATCAACTCCATTGACATGGAGTCCCTGACCGGCCCTAACGCCGTCAGGAAAGCGATGGCAGTGACCACATCGCTGGACCCCCCTCCCACTGCCACCATCGTACACTTCAAGGTCTCCTCACAGGGAATCACACTCACCGACAGCGAGAGGAAGTAAGTATTATCATTATCCACTTACCATACACTTCTAAACACAGATGTCTTTTTTTTTGGGCATTTGTAGTAAACTGCTATCTTCAGCACAGCTTTGTTGTTCGTTGGCAAAATTAACTCACACAGATATATACACATCTACATGATTACATGATTTGTTCTGTGCTTTAAAATGCACAGTATGACTATTGACTAAACATTCTAAAGATTAGATTGGCAGCAAAATATAGTTACCTAAGAGATACATGTACATGTAGTAGGTGTACATGTTTAAAGTTAAAACCATTGTTCTTTACCCAAGCTTTTGACCAGTCACTCTAGCTGGTCTTCTTCAATAGACTGACCCAGTACAATTTGTCAAATTCATTAACATCTTAGGTTTACATCGTTTTAAAATCTGTACTCAGTGTTACATGTACATAAGGGCACGTATTAAACTAGGGGGCCCAAACTAACGTCACTTCTTCTCTCACCCAAGTGCTGTCTACCATCCAAAAGCATGACCCTAACATGTCTACATGTAGATCAAAGAGATATCAAAGCCGGAGGTTCTGCTGCAGTACCAAGGAAAGCCACCAGGAGGCCCAAAATATATCATTTCTAGATCCTATCAAGACCTATCCATCTATCAAGTTTCATGACCATCCATCAATAGCTTCTTGATTTATCGTGCTAAACCACATGCAAACACACACATACATACATACCCACAAACGCTATGGAAAACCTTACCTTCTTGGCAAAGGTAATAATTGCTACATTAACTCATGGTAACTAAAAAAATGCTCCATTCTCCCTCCCCAGGATCTTCTTCAGACGACACTACCCGGTGAACTCGGTGACGTACTGTGGGATGGACCCAGAAGACAGGAGGTGGAAACACACAGGACAGAGCTCCACCTTGAGCGCAAAGTACGTTTCTCAAGCAATGGTCTTTCATATCTCCTTTCATATTGCTTTTAGAGTAAACCTTTAGCACTAGTAAACCTTTCAAACAAACATTAGAACTAGTAAATCAGTCATCCTCTAAGTGAAACAAAATACTAATTTAATTTTAACTTGTTTGCATGTTTTTTTCTCTGTGTTCATGTTGTACAAACTTTCTGTATTTGCTAGTTCCAGAGTAAGCATGTGTATAGAAAACATAGCATGAACACTAAAAAGGTAACATTTGCAAAAAAAATGCATAATGTTTACCTCTGCGTATGGTCTGCTCTGCTGATTCTTACTCAAACACATTCATATATATGGTCAGACAGGAGTCTAAATCCCTCCTGCTATAAAATTGCTACATGATGTAATCCAACACCAGTTACCATGGTGACAGACGTCTGGTTCAGGTCATATACCTTATTGGTTTGGAGAAGAAGAGGAAACAGAGCAAAAACAATAAGTCCACACAAAGAAAACAAGTACATGTATGCAGTATGGAGGCTTATCAGTGTGTTTAAAATAACTTTCTTTTTTACCTTAATGAAATATAACTTTCTTTTTTACTGATTTCTGTGTTGTTTTGTTGCAGATGTTTTGGTTTCGTGGCGAGGAAGGTTGGAAGCAGCGTGGACAATGCCTGTCACTTGTTTGCGGAGTTGGACCCCGACCAACCGGCCTCTGCCATTGTCAATTTTGTCAGTAAAGTCATGATCGGCAGCCACAGAAGAGAATCGGGAGGTAGTCAGCAAAGTATACAGTCAATATAGACCCTGCCCCACCCCTACGAGGGAATAGGTAGTGCCAAGTCAATGTGTTGGGTGATGCCAAGCGGTGGACTTGGGGAGGGGCAGGTTGGAGATGGAATAGAGTTAGTCCACGAGAAGGTACATATGATGGAAAGACTGTGGTTTGTCAGAAAAAAATGCAGCTTTTCCCTGTGAGAGACCTGCATGCAAGAAAAGCAATTGTAGATGTTGGAACACTGTATGTAAAATAGACAAAAAAGAGAGTCTAGATGCAAAAGACATAGTGTAAATGTATATTCACCAACCTTTCGAGGTTTTCAACTCAAGATTGGTACCGACAATGTACCCACTTTACAACGTGCCTATACCAGAGCGCGCTCTGCGAACCAGGGACAAAGACGACAGTGTAAAATACGGAGGAGGTTGCGCCAATGAAGGGAGCACGAGAGACTGAGATCGATGTTGCCTGTATTTATCCTACTGTACGGGTATGGGTGATGTGCAAGAATCGGAAACACGGATTTCTACAAGAGACAAAAGGAAAAAGTCTCCCTTGGAGAGAAGGAAAGAAGGGACAACGGAGGTGGATACTGAATGAACTGTAAAGAAGAAGAGGCGTTGACATAAAAATTCATCAGGGAAATTGGAATGAAGCCAGCAGAGAATTTGTGCTCTCAGATTACTGATGTTGTATTTGTAGATGCTATTTCTTGCCTTTTTTGGATGCAGCCCTTCTGTGCTGTAGAAAGCAGGCTATTTTTCAATGGAGGAGAGCCAAAACATGACGTTTTGGCTGTTGCAATATCAAGCATTGCTGGTTTTTCTCTCTCTAAAGTGGGAGAAAGTCTGTTCACTACATCTTTGTAGCAGTCTTTCTCTCTCGCTCTACTGTACTTGATAACTGTATTTATTGGAAAAGAGTTGTATCTGCAATACGGAAGTTATGATATGCTAGACTCATAGTATTTACATACGATCATATGGTTTTTTGACATGCGCTAATGTAGTGCAAAATGACGAAATTATTATCCTAAAAAAAATCATTATCCTGATATTATTCACAGTGAAAAGAAATTATGCCTGTTGTGTTCAATATCTCTAGAAGTGTAGAATACAAGGAAACAGGATATAACGTATTTATCCACAGATAATCAGTCCGAAATTTCATTGTGACGACCGAGCACAAAACAATCGAAAAAGCGAAAGTTCTACAATTAATAACATCATGACAGTGATGTTGAACTTTCTTGTAATTACGTACATAGATATCACACTTAATATTTATATAGACACAACTTCCAATTTATTTTATTATTATACCATAGGTTATATTTTGTAAGGCATTTTGATTTTATTGTTCTTGCTGTTGTAGGTTATATGAGTAGTGAGCGCTGTTTGATTGCAAAGCGTTTCTCCGTGTGCGAATCATGTGACATAACCCACAGTTAGGCCTGTGTATTGTACAAAGGATTGTAGCAGTCTTAACTGCCAGCTTTACATGATTTCATGCTTAATAAACTACAGCATACAAGTAAAATGTTGTGATTTGTGATGTCTTTTTTGTGTTGTAAGCTGTTTTCCTTCCTCATATGGGTTATTTTTGCCGCGTTTTAAACTTTTTATCAGGGTTTCTTCTTTTTTTTGCACTGGAATTTTTCTTCCACCAAAAGAAAAATTCCAGTGCAAAAAAAGAAACCCCGATAAAAGTCTAAAAACACGCCAAAAGTAACCCAAACATCTGCTTGGAGAGTACCTCATAGTGCAGCCTCTATTGTGTCTGTCCTTGGTGCTGAAAGCATGATCCTTCTGCATTTTCAATTTTCCATAGCTGTAGAACGTTAGATGGCCAAGTAAAGAGGCCAGTATTTCGATTAACAAATAAAATTACTATTCTCGAAGGATAAATCATAAAGAACATCAAGTTCTGCACCACTAGGAGACGAAACGGACTGAAAGGGCCCTAATTATAATTAGCGCATCGTTCCTAATATACATCATTATCTGCCCCGTATTCGGTCACATTCTCTACTTCTGCCAGATTAAAATCGCCATGGATCAAAAGCGCCACGTTACGGCGACAGAAGATCACTGCAGTTCAGGAGCCGCTCAGGCAACAGATTTGGTTGATTCTGCCATGGATCAAAAGCGCCATCCTAGCGGCGAAAAAAATTACTGCAGTTCCACGAGCCACCAGCCAACACATTTGGTTCATTCTGCCATGGATCAAAAGCGCCCTCCTAGCGGCTAAAAATCATCACTGCAGTAATATGAGCAGTGTAGCCAGCATATAGACCGCCTTTAATCCATGCATTTGTAGTACTAGTAACTTCGCATCCTGGTATCCGGCATTGCATGGGCTGTCTTCGAGGCTCTAGACTAGCTCTCCACCGCCGAGTGTAACCACGCACTCCGTAAGGGATTTGCACGGTTGCAAGACTCGCAACAGGTGGCAGGCAGGTACCGACACTGATCCAACAGGTTGCCAAGCTGAAGCCGGGCGGCAAAGAGCTTCTACCGCCCCGAGGATGGCCTGTTCGATCTACGATAGACGCCATGCGAGTAACTTCGTATTAAAGCCTGAAGCAATACACCCCCATCAAACTGCTTTCAAGCCGTACCCGGAAATTCAAGCCGTACCCGCTCAAAAATTCTGGCCGTACCCGGAAATTCGTGCCGTACCCGCGAAAATTTCAAGCCGTACCCGGTAATTCGTGCCGTACCCTTTACTTTTCGCAGTGGCAATGGCCACCCCGACCAATCTAATGTGGAGAAGTGTACCGATTTTGGAGGAATGTACGCTCAAAACTGGAGGAACGTCCGCTCACCTGGAGGAGTGTACGCTCAAACCTGGAGGAATGTCCGATTTTGTGAGGAATGTACCAATTTCGGAGCAATGTCCAGATTAGATTGGTCGGGGTGTTACTGGGCCGAACAGAAATCGCCCTGGCTCCGGAATACTATCTAGCATTCTAGGTTTGAAGGATTTTCGTCACAATTTCTGCGGGCAAAAATGTATTCTGAGCGCCGGTGATAATACAGGGCGGCGGGCGGCCATGCAGGTCGGCCGCGCGGGGCCTTTCAGTCCACCGGAGGCACCCATATTATCCCCCAACAACCACTCCTTCCCTTAAAATGTAGCAATGGAAAGTTTATATCATGAAATTGAGTTATTTTTGACAGAAATATGGCAATGCCGGCTCAATTTTTGGTGGTATTCCGCGATACGAACTGTTTATATTGTGAGAATAGCCAGTTCCGGTTGCTGCGGCTTGGCCGCTCGTTCTGCAAACTCGGAGACCGTGAACTCACCGAAAAATACGACAAAAACTTCAACGTGCGGCTTTCCTTTTCGGTGGGGTTTGTAGACAATATAAAACGTACGACAGAACCGTTGAATAGTTATTGAAAATAATTAACGTTATCTAGAAAAATGAATATTTGTGTTTCAAACAAGTAATATTGGTAACCCCCAAGAGACCCTAATTTCGGCGGTTCAAACCCGGAAGTGAGAAATCGGGACCACCTGTAACAGTTAAGAGATTTAGCCCACTCGCGGATTCCGGCGATTTGGGAATGGCCAAACCTCGGAAACTCGTAAGGGGGTTTCAACTTTTTACAGAATAATTCATTTTATGACTTTTTCCACAGGTTAATACGCCGAAAACTGGTTGTTTTACTTTCTGTAGGTTTCAAGTTAAATAATTAGCGGCAAGTTACTGAAATTTTCTTGTTTTTGTAGAGTAGAAAATTATTTTATTGTTGAACTGATTTTCGTTTATCTACTTATTAGCTTTGATTCTGTTTGTCAAATACATGTATAGATACAAAGATTGACTCATTTCAAACACCATACGGTAGAGGTTTTGTAAATTTAACCATTTTTTGAATGTTTTGCACCTTTTTTTAAACAGAAACCTGACAATAATACATGTATACTATCGGTCCGCCATCTTGATGCGTTACGCCAAATTTACGCTGGTTTCACACTTTGTTTGACAGAATTAATGTCTGACGTTTCCTAATTACCACTATTTGTGTAATTATGATAACCTTGAAGTGCATTTCTCTGCTCAAAACCGACTTTCTTGTACTGACTACAAACGCTTCGCATTGTTTGACCATGGTAAGTTCGTTACAAGTATTGCGTCTAATCTCCAAGCAGATGTTGGGAGGTTAAATCATTACATTTTCTATCTGCTTGTTTCTGTCACAAACTGTCTGCCATTTGGTTAGAGAGGCGGTTTGGAACAGAACATGGCAGCTAGAAAAATAATTTATTTTACCCTCCCAATTTTTACTTGTAGATTATGTTCTATCCATGCATTTTTAGCAGGTTTTTATTTCAATTTTCTATGCTTTCCTGGCAATGTCCAGCAATATTCCTCTTTTGTGATATATCAGAATGAACAATGTTACAGCCTGCTATCAATTTTAACACAGAAACTCGAGATTCTTGAGTATAACTCCCCTATACATAAAACCAAATGGTGCCTAAACAAAAAGTAACGTTTAGCTCAGTCAAAGAGCATGAGGCAAAAAGATTCACCAATAAAGCTTGTATTTATTCACATAATATCATATTGTACACATATGTACAAACTGCTCCCAAATAATACATTATGTTGCCATTTCCTGGTTCCATTACTAGTGCAAAGTACATTGTATACTGGACTAGCCCTTTGCTGTAGTGAGATGCAAGTACTATATGATCCTATACAGAAATGCCAGAGACATATACACCAAAAGATATGGGAGATACTTAAACTTTAAGTAAATTATGCTCATATCCAATGACTACTGCTGATTCCTTCATTTTGTCATTCAGATTTTTGCATTTACATGTATATACCAGTACAGTAGTTATGTTGAGGGTTGTGGGATCTTTTGTCTCATCCCTTCAAGTTGGATTTTGTAGACGTTTTGACATTATCTTCTTGACCAAGGTATGTAATGATGCTTTGACTCTAAGCTCTTGTGGTAAAATAGAAATATGTTGAGCAACATTGAGAAACAAGTGTTGGTAGTAGAGACATGTAGACAACCACCATTACTTTCTCTAGGATAGTTCACTTTCTGCTAGTACAACACTGAATAATCTCACTATAGGAGACTTACATATGCAAGGTACTATGTCAAGTTTAGGAAAGGTGTAATATCAACTCTCAAGACAGCCACATAAAAAAACAGTGAATACAGAGAGATCTACTATTTAAATACAACATCAGTAATCTATGGTATGCATGCTTACCAGGTGTTGAACACATTCTTGAAAAGGCATGTATAACACATTCTTTTAATGCGATCCTCTGAGGTTACTATAGGCAGAAATATGAGAATTGATGTCAAAATACCAAAATTGTTCTCAATGTACTTGACAATGTATGCTTTACCTTCATATTTGCTTTTGACACTGTCTCAAATATTTGAGGTAATTTTCTACCATGTCCTTTATTATATCCTCCATCATAACAATAGCAAAGATATCTCTTACAAAGTTTGGGGATACAGCTTCTTGCAAAACACCTCTTTCTGTTTTGTTTTTTAAGATTGTGTAAAATTCGGGCTTTCAAAACTTGGAAATGGCAACATATGTTAGAAGCACAAAGCATACTGCATTCTCAAAAATGTAGTAAGGTACGGGACTACACCTTCTTGCAAAACTTTTTTTTTCATTTTAAAGACTGTGTAAAACAAGGGCCTTCAAAACTTGGAAATGGTAACGTTTGGGAACAAGCGAAAGCATGATGGATTCTTGAAAATGTTACATGGGTCTAGCCATAGGAGTAACAATACTGAATGGCCTGTATCCTTTAATATGTAAGGCACATGTCAGTGAAAACCAAAAAGGGGTGCTAGCAAATTGTAGGGGGGGGTGAGAGAGTAGTTTTTGACTATTTGATGTATTCCAGTAAGCTTTTGTTTATTTCTGAAAAAGTTTGATACTAATCAAGAACACCCCATATCCCCAAAGGTTTATCACTGACAGGTGCATTCTTCCATTCAAAATACAATCCAGTGTTTTGTACTACACAGAAATGCATAGCAAGATGCATGAAGCTAGTTGCCAAATAGCATATAACTCTTACAGTGTCTGGTTCTAGGTAAAAAGCACCTTGTTCTAAAATCTGATTCTTCAGGAAGAGTGTATTATTTTTCGATACAAAAAATGTTTGCAATATCTGATCTGCCTATATTCTAAGATTGGCAGAAAAAATACACCCTTTCCAGCATAAATTTCTGCCTTCTTAGAACAGACGAAAAATATAAATTCAATCATCGTGGCATCCTTAAACTGAAAGGTTTTGTCATGTTTTTAACAGTTTGGTCTTACAAGCAAGAAAAAAAAGAGCTTTTTTGATATCAAATAAGTATCGCTTCCAGAAATCCAAATAAAAAAACTTCTACTTTCTCTCAGGTGGGGTGGTGGGCCTCTTTTCTTGTGGAGTGGAGCCACCTCCCTGTACAAACATAAATAACAACAACAAACAATAAACATAAATAACAACAACAAACAATAAGTTTCAAACAAAAACAACAGTTTCAGTTCCTGTGTGCCCTGCTTGGTACAGGTTCTGAACATATGAATAAATAGTTGTATTTACTTTTATAAATGATACAGAACTAATACCTTTGTAAGACCATACCAATTTAATTTGTTGCTTCTCAGATGTTTTCAGAAAAATATGAAGCAACAGGGCAAAAAAAAAAACAGGCCAAGGCACCCCATGATAGCCAGAAATGTTACAATATGAGCCATGATGTCAACATACCAGACTGTTGTGTAAAGAAAACAATAGATTTTGAACTTTAAATGACATAAAGTTGCACTGTTACATTGAAAAACTTTAGCAACTAGGAAGAAAGGGACTTTCTTCAACCGTAGGGGCCAAAATATGCCTTTCATTGAGCATCTTACAGTTGATTCAGAATGTAAAATCTTTTGTTTTTTTTCAAATCGGAAAAAAATGGACAGGGCGAATCCGAGAAGCAACAAATTTAATTGGTGTGGCCTAACAGTAGCTATAACTAAAAGTAATACATTATGGGAACAAGAAGTCCAAAATTATACATTATACATTAAGGACAATGGTTATGTCACATTAATATTAAGTCTTGTCATTTGGCACAAATACTTGATCAATGATAGTTTGAAGTGGCACAATGATATCTGGGACTTTATATTGTTCTTATTGTGTTCAATTGCAAAGTAGCTAATTTGGAACCTATTTTTACTTGGATGTGAAGAAAAGTTGATAAATCAGACTTAAATAGTAAAAAGTAACTTTTGTGAAAATTGACTAGCCCATTCACCACCTCTTAGGAGGAAGTTCCATGCTGAAAGCTTCTTTCCAAGAACAACATCACTTTGGAATAAGCTACCTCGTGATTGCTTTCCTTATGAGTATAATCTTAAACTCTTCAAGTCTAAGGTCAACAAACATCTGTCCTCACTGACTGTTCCGTAACCCAAAACATTTAAGTGGCTCCCATGAGCCTTGTTTTGTGGTGACCTATGAAGTAAATAAAAAAAAGTCTTACTTCTTTATGCTCCTTTGCTGTCTTGGGTCTTCATACACTAGTAGATGGGGCGGCTGTTTCCAGAATCTGCGGAGCCTCCTCTAAGGCCACCCGGCAGATGTCATCGATTAACCACCGTCTAAAGTACGTCGTTCGCTTCTCCTCATCTTCAATCAAGAAGACAACCGTCTTCTGAATCTGGTTCAGTTCGTGTAGGCTCAAACCTGCCATCTCTGGCAGCTCGTAGTGAGTGTAGTCTGGAACCCTAGCGAACAGGTTCTTGAGGATGGTGTTGTCCTTTGTGTGTGGGGCGGCTGCTTCCAGCTTAGACATGAGAGTGTTGGCGTAGGCTAACAGCTCTTTGGAATGAGCTCTCTTTGGTAACAGTTCAGCCCATAGAGTGTGAATGGACAACATCACCTCTTTGCAGACTGGGTCGGTGAATTGTGGGGGTGGCGGCTTGGCTGTTGGAATTGCCGTTGTCGTCTTGCTGTCGTCTTTCTTTGTTATAAAGCCGACCAACTGTCGGAATCGGGAAGGGCGCTCACTCTTTCTCTTCTTGGCGTCGCCCTCTCCGTTGGTGAGGGACTTGTCTGTTGCTGCTGAGCTTGATGCAGAAGTGCTTGTCGTAGAGGGAGATGCAGGTTTCAGCTCTGTGCGTTCTACGGATCCGCTGGAGGGCTTGTCCTGGCTAGTCTTGCCCTGTTTTTCTCCCTCAACTGTTTGGGAGGCAGACTTCAGGTCAAGTGTAGACTCCTTGTTGTCAGAGCTCTTCAGTCGGTCTTCAGTTGCAACTGTTTCTTCTTCCTTTGTAACGTCAGAGTCCTCTGCGTTACCTAAATAGAAAAATAACACGATAGAGAACATGCTTTAGCCTAACTACAACTAAAAAGCGTTAAATGTAGTTTCTCATGTTAAAACTGTTAGCTGAAGTATGTAGTCAATGATTTTGCAGTGCCATACCAACACTGCAAAAAGAGAAAGAACTTGAAATCGCCGCAAATATTGTACACTTGATATAGTTGCAACAAAACTGAGAGTCCTTGCGATGTTCAGATATCATTTTTTTGCCCTCATCGACAACTACCATCAAAATATTACAGCTTATATATTTAGAAAAGATTAACATATGACGCTGAACAAGTCAGACATAGGTACAGAAAATACAGTAGTATAAATCCATCTCCTACCTGCTCCCTGGGTAGACTTTGTCGTCCTGCCACCCTTATTTGTGATGAAGCCGAACAACTGACGAACGCGGCTCGGCCTCACATCTCTGTCTCCATTTGCTGGGGACTTTGTTGAAGTAGAACTTGGTGAGGTGGCTGTTGAGGCATTTGGGGATGAAGACTCAGGTTTGCACTGCGTGTCGTCTTCGCTAGGGGACGCTGGTAGCTTGTCCTGTTCACTCTTGTCTGGTTTCTCTCCCTCAACTGGCTGGGAGACGGACTTCAAGGCAAGTTTAGTCTCCTCTTTCTCCGAAGATCTCTCCAGTTGGTCTTCAGTCACAACTGTCTCACCAGTTGTCTTCTCATGAGGCTTTGTGGAAGCTTAGATAGAAAAATAACAAATTTCTAGCACGCCAACTCTTGGAGAATTATCGTGTAACAGACTATAAACAAGAATGTTTTTGCGATTTCAGTTTGTAACGTTTCAATCTTTGCTCGTCGAACTTAGAATTTCGAATATAGAACTGGTCGAACGTAAAAGAACTGCCCTTCCATGTCTTCCAATTCGAAAGCTTTACGAACACAGTAGAGTAGATCTAAATGTTTACAAGTAAGAACATGACCAACGGACACAGACAGATATTTCTGGCAGAGTACAGAAAGTACAGCAAGCAACACCTACCTCCTTCATCAACGGACGTTGTCGTCTCACTCTTCTTCTTGGTGAAGGAGCCAAACAACCTGTGGAACCGACTGGGCTTGACATCCCCAGCTCCGTTCGTTGCAGTCGAACTTGGAGAGCCGTTCGCTGCACTTGGCGATGAAGACGCAGGCTTGTGCTTCGTGTTGTCTCCGCTAGAGGGTGCTGCGGGCTTGCCCTGGTTAGTCTTGTCCAGCTTCTTTGCACCGACTGTCTGAGACGTGGTCTTCTTTGTCCCATATTTCTCCCTCAGTTCAGTCGCGCTCACCGGTTTGGTGCGAAGTTTTCCCACAGAAGGCTTAGGGGTAGGGGAGCCTAAAAAGAAATAATTTCCACATTTTTAGCGTCATATTTTGAAATGTTCCGTGGATCACTCAGTCGGCCACTTGTTTACTTAACGAAGTATGTTGTCTTCTATGTTAACGCAAGGTCAATTTACGTGTACCGACAGAAAAAGAAGGAAAAATGGACTAAAACACGGAAGAAATGTGCAGAAAAAAACGTTCTTTTGGGTTGTTTTGTATGTTAAGTTTTTTTCGTTTCTTTGTGGGTAACTACTTGTTATGTGAGGACCAAAACCTTCTTAGTTGATGTAATGCAGTGTAAAGTTTATGGCAACATACAGGCAGGGCTGGGCGTCAACAAAGAAGTAAACAAACAAACAAACAAACAAACAAACAAACAGACGTCCAATATAGAAAGTACAGTAGATTCCTCTCACCTGTCTTCTGTGTAGTTGTCTTTCCCGGACCGTACACAGCTACGGTAGCCTCCAGACAACACACATTCTTGTAATTGTTTGGTCGTCCCTTCTTGGGTGGATCGAAGACGTACCAATCCTTCACCGGCCGGCCGTACGCGTTTGGCTGTAGAGCCCTTGCCGGGTCCAGGGTGGTAACTCCGATAGTTTTCTCCTTACATTTCTTCTTCTTCTGCAACTCCACCTTAACCTTCCTCATCTCTTGTGGCGCGCATTCTGCAAACTCTGCAGTGAAGTCCCAGTCCTGGGTGGCCACTTTCTTCCATGCGGTACAACGTCTCCTCTTCTTGTACCGAACCACCACGCGATACTTGGCTTTTTCAGCCACGCTGACGGTGTGGATCCCCACACTTATTTTTGTCCCGCTCTCTCTGTTTCGTCCGCCGTGTGTGAGTAGCGCTAGGGTCTGGAAGCACACCAGAAAGGCGGCTGCTCCCCTGCGCAACAAACCCGGTCGGTTACGGTCCATTTTTATCAGACAAAAATGGTTAAAAACATCGCAAAATCACGCACAGACACGTAAGGCCGTGTGCTCTATGCTCTCTTGGCAATGTTGTGTTCTGTTGTTGTTCTACGCCGTGGTTATACAATGTCGTTCCAGAACGTACTGTGGCAAACGGCACGAACAATAACTTTGCTCATAACTTTGTGATGACGCCATAGATAGCTGTGAAGAGTTTTAGTGTCCTACCATTGTTAAGATGGCTATTATCATCATCCTGATAAAAGAATCCTAACGTAACAGGAAAATAGTGCGTATGTGAAAAATGTGTTTGTTGATGCGTGGATGGCGTTCAGCACCAAGGACAAGTGCGTTTGTGTATGGATGGTGCTCAGCACAATGTATAGGAGTGTTTGCCTACAGTGTGTGGATGGCGTTCAGCACCAAGGACATGTGCATTTGTGTGTGGTTAGTACTCAGCACCGGTACAGAAGTGTTTACGTGTATGTTGATGGCGTTCAGTACCAAGGACAGGTGCATTTGTGTGTGGTTAGTACTCAGCACCAGGTACAGGAGTGTTTACGTGTATGTGGATGGCGTTCAGCACCAAGGACAGGTGCGTTTGTGTGCGGCTAGTACTCTGTGCTACAGTTCATGCATGCAACAAATACAGTCATTGAAAAATAATACAGTTTCTTGAAAACTGTGTTTCAAAGAGAGAGCAAATTTTCCTTGGAAACATACCATCCGGAAAATATACAATGATTTTTCTTATGATATTGTCTGTACCAGCATGCTCGTTGTACTCTTCAATCAAGGAAATAGCAATCTCTCAATAATTCTAGCCAGCAGATTAGATTATCAGCTCAACCAATGATAACACGACAATCAGCGGTTTGACTAATGAGGTAGCGGCTGCATTTTGGTTAAATATTTGCATCTTTATGCTTTGACGAGAAGGCGGGAATATAGGAAAGGTCCATTAAGTTTGGGGATCAACACTTGATGTGGCAGGCGTTATTCTTATTGCTAGGTTTGTCACAGAAAACAAAATCCAAACTACTCACCTTTAAGCATAATCATTATGAAGGTTTCTTTCCCCAGGGATGAAATAGTGATGATATATTGACAAAAACAAAAATTATGAACTGTTTTTACCCCTATGTAATGAGCTATGGTACGGTCCGATGTAACTTGTGCAGTCCAGCTGTGTATGCACGTTGTAGCGTGGGGTGTGGTTGTGTGGAAATTTCCTCCAACTTTTAGCGCACATTTTCGGCTTTTTCTTTTCAAATTGTCCGTCTTAAAGTGTGCAGATAACAGTAGGAACATTTCCATGGTGGATTTATGCCGTTCTTTGGATGTTTGGAGGAGAAAATGCGCATTTTCTGACGGAGAAATTTTGGAGAAGAAATAAAAATGGCGGGAAGGACGGCGCGGTGTTGAGAAGACTCGACGTCCTTTTGAGGTAAGACAACAAATTATCTCCTTTAATGTATACTAAGCGTTACATGTTGTATTTCCAACAAGTCTGTAGCAACAAACCACGTTATATTCTGTTATATTGACCGTTTAGTTCTTTGCGTTTGTCTCCCTCATTGTTGCTTGAAACCTTTTTGAACTTCACCATTTTTATCAAGCTGTTTTCTTGAATAGCATGTCTTTGTGGGACACTTGTATGTATTTCTTCCCTGTTGAGTGTTATTTGGAAAAGCTAAGGGCTAATTTCGGTACCGCAAATCTGTTTCGCTGGAAATTTTGGAACACTTGTTGGATTGTACGGTATGTATGCATAATTAATGATAAATCCTATGATATATTGAATGTTCCTGTCGAAAAATTGCCTGAACAAGACTTCGGAGATCTCATACCTCAATAAGATATTGAGTGCTTTTGGGAACACTGATATGAACTGAAAAGGCCAATAGCTTTAAGTTTTGGAGTACATAGGGAAGAAAAGTAGCATGCCTAGTGCCTATGCAAAACCAGAGTGGTAAGTTCAATAATATGGTTGATTATCTGGCTATATTTCTTTCCATATACATGTAGCAGGTTACAAGTAAGATTTACGATAACGAAGATATAGCTCCATACACTTCTGTTACTTCTGCCTGAGATGGAATTAAAACAATGGCCCATAAAACGTGTACTAGACAATTCTTATTGGTGCATTTTCTCATGTGAAGCTCTATAATGTTTTTACGTAGGATGGAGAAACAGGAAAATTGATAACTGCAGGCATTGTCATCTTCATTATTTCTGTACTAGCATCTGTATAGCCGATATAACTGCCCTTTGGTGTAACACACGAGCTTCACACGCACACGGCACGGCGGCAGCTGGCTACATTACACCGAACGACTTGTTACACCTAACCCTTGAACATCTAACTCTAAACATTGTTTAAACTTATCTAATGACAATTCCCCTACTGTACTTGGTAACAGCGAGTTCCACTCTGCGATAGTTCTAGGAAAGCATGAATTCTTGAACACCCCAATCCTTGGTTGATAACTCTGGTACTTGAACGCATGACTATTTCTTGTTCTCTTCTGGGCTGGTATTAGCATATATATAGGTACTTAGTAGTTGGGACATCCACCAGTTGCAGACAGACTTCTATGCTACATTTGTATCTGTATCTATATTGCCCTTTGGTGTATCACATCTGCTTTACAAGCACGAGAAGCGTCTGCTTGTTAACTTGTACTAAATGTCCTGTCATATCTTCCTTTTTGTATCTACCTGTACGCATTGTCTGTATCTATCTAATTTTGATGCCTGTACAGTACTTCATGTTAATGAGTTTCACTCTGCATTACTTCAATTTCTTGTAAGAACATTCCAAGTTTACAAGATTCATAATAATTATATAAAGGCATAACTATCTGTAGTTCTATCCAGTACCTTCTACTTGGTTCATCCACATTTATTAATCATGTTAACTCAAGTGAAATCTTCAAAGAGTTTTAATTTTTGCTGCACTAGCTCCCCTATTTCAGTTGTTTGTGAAGAACCTGACCGCTTGGTTTTGGGTCTGTCCAATTTATTTTTGTCGTAGTATACAGTTAGTCAGTTACCAAATTAAAATTGGGCTTAAAATACTGGATCTAACCAATTCTTGTTTTTATACATCATCATAGATGGCTGAGTCCCAAGGGTCTGCCAGCTGTGCAGGTGTTCCTGTCCAGATGAGATGATGAGACTTGTGAAGACGAGGCACCAGTGACAGGTACAAGACTATCAGGTGAGAAAATTCTGAATTGTGCATTTTACCTTAAACCATCTTGTTTTATTTAGAACTTACTACCAGTAACATGTTACGGAAAAAAATTGGCATTACACTTATCATTCTTATTATATCCAGGTGTGTCCTGATGTTCCTGTTCTGACTGGGAGAAACCTGTGATGACTGCAACTTCTGTCCAAACGAGACCAAATGAGGGCTGACCAAACCAGTTGACTTGAAGACACCTGTGATGTGAAGAGTTTGTACAGGTGAGACATTGTGCTTTACAATTTCAATCATCATCATGCTACTTTTGTACTTTCTTTTATGTGTGAAGAACTCCAATGTATGACACACTGCCAGTAGGTTCTTTAAAGGAAATGACCTTTTGCTTTTGAAGAATTTATAATTTTGTAGTAGGATCATTCATTGTTGTCTGAAAAAATGTCGGGGACATAACACTGATTTTTACATTTTCATGTAGTTAGGTGTGTCCTGACGTTCCTGTCCTAACTGGAATGAACCTGTGATGACGGGCAACTTCTGTTCAAACCAGACCAGCAAACCAGTTGACCTGAAGACACAGTGAAGAGTTTGTACAGGTGAGACAATGTTTTACAACTTACAAGTTACATTTTTGGGTCTTTTTTCACTTCTTCCTAGTTACCGGTAACTCTGAGGCATGGCATGCTACCATTAATACACAATATGCTTTTGGGTTTCAAAATTTATCATGATAGTGATTTTATTTCAACATCATTCAGTGTAGCATAAAACTAAATTGTTCTTTATTTTTTAGTTCGGTGTGCCCTGATGTTCCTACCTCCCTGTCCAAACCATGATGAGGGCTCAGAAAATAATTTGTACAGGTGAGACAATGTTTTACAACTTTTGTCTGTGATGTGTTAAGAACTCCTTCTGTATCTGTATAGTCGGTATAACCGCCCTTCGGCGTAACACACCAGCTTCGCAGGCATGTGGCGCGGCGGCAGCTAGCTATATCACACCGAACGGCTTGTTACACTCAATCTTTGCACATTTAATTGCAGGAGTTGTTAAAAGCTTTCTAGTGATGATGCCCCAACTGTGCTTGGTGGCAACGAGTTCCAGTCTACGATAGTTCTGGGGAAATACGAGTTTTTGAATACCTCAATTCTTGGTTGATAACTCTGATATTTGAAGGCATAATACACAATCAGTATTATATTTCAAACACTTCTTAGACAAAATATTGTCTATATTATATTCAAGCAAAAGAATACCGTGCAATGTTACCAGCTTTTATGGTCATTCAGTGTTGACTTGATGTTTTTTTGCATCACACTCATTGTTTTATATATCATTAGGTGTGTCCTGAGGGTCAGCTGTCCTGACTGGGAGTAACCTGTGATGACCAGCGACTCCTGTCCTGGGGTCAGCAAACCAGTTGACCAGCAGAAACCTGTGATGACCGACGTCTCCTGTCCAAACCAGATTCAGGAAACCAGTTGACTGAGTCACTGAGGGAAATAAAGGCTTTCTACAAGTAAGTCAGACTCTAAAATTTTCTTTCTAACATTCTTGTGAAAGACTAGCTTTGGATAAAGTTTTTCTGCATTTAGGCCACACCAATTTAATTTGTTGGTTCTCAGATTCGCCTCTTCGTTTTTTTCTGATTTGCAAAAAAAAAAAAAAAAATTGATTCTGGTCCTGAATCAACTGAAAAATGCTCATGTTTTGCCCCCAACAGTTGAAGAAAGTCCTTTTCTTCCTAGTTGTTACAGTTTTCCCATCTATCATTGCAGTGGTTTGATTAAAAGTTCAAAATTCAATGTTTAAATTTTAACCCAGCCTTTTGTGTTGACTTCATGGCTCATTCCGTAG